GAACATGTGGTGGCGCTGTGGCCGTTGGGGGCGGTGATTTGGTGACGTGGGCGTCGTTTGTTCATGCTACGTACGTCTTGCCACAATGTGCGTGTTCGTCTCCGGGACGTCGCCGCCAGTTCGCGACCTCAAGTCCCGTCGCAGTCGTTAGCGCATCGCGCCTGCTGGGCTCTGTGGCTATGCGGGTGCGGGCGCGGAGTGTGGCAGGATTACGGCGACACGCGCGCGACACTATATTATCGATTAGCACGGCGGATGCGACCGGTTGTGGTTGCAGGATCAGGTATATCGCCACTCTCGACACCTCACGGCGGAGTGAATTGATTGTAGTAGAACTTCCTGCAGTATTTCCTGACATTAACCGCTACCTACATCGGGTTGTGGCTGAGATCTTTGTAAACTTATCCTTCGTAGCTGCCGTCTGGCCTACAAGACCGGAAACTTTTTCTCGCCTGCTCTCCTCTCTCTCTCTCTCTGTGTGCTATTATCATTGTTTATTTGTAATCCAATTGTTACGATTACATAATTTGAAATAATATACAATATTCATCTCTCAACTTGATTTTCTTTTACACGATGGCGCAATTACGCGAAGGACTGTCCCATTTGTACGCGCATTTACTTCGTTCTAAGTGTCTGCAGGCGCTCCGTCAATGCCAGCGTGTGTGAGGCGGCAGCGATCATTGAGGCCGCGGGCAACGCCTCCGCTTGGAAAGCCTTATTAGGGGCAGGGGGCGGAGGTGAGGGTGGGGTGGGGGCACAGGGAGCAATGGGCAGCGTCGTCTGCGTCAGATTAGCATCCCCGACCCGCGCGTCTCTTCCGGGCTCGCTGCTGGCTCCCGCCCCCCCCCGCTGCTCCCGCCGTCGCCCGCCCCCGCCACGCCCCGCCCCGCCGCCGACACCGTCTCGCTTCACGCCGCCGTACCTCGCCCACACTTCCGCCCCCGCTGCCCTCTCGCCACATCTCGCTTTCGCCTGAATGGCATTCATCAAGAAGCGATTCGCACCACGCCCTCTTCTCCCGTCTTCCTTCCCGCCACTCAAGCGGGCTACCGCGCTTCCGCTCCCCGCCAGGCCCGCCCGGACCCCCGCCCCGCCCCGCCCCGGCCGCAACGACCGCTGCTCTGCAATTTGTTTAGGTTTACTGGCAGCGCGGCCCGGAGATGGAGCAAGGCCCGCTAGCTTCCCGGTTATTGCCTTGCATGAACGGCCCGCCTGCAATTTCCGTGCGGACGCCAAAACCAATGTCCGGTTCCGAGCATGTCGCGATGAAAATTCTCAGAAACCGCCATTAAGACGTTATATGTTCTATTTTGCATACGGTTTATTGAGAGCTCCAGTTCGTCTCCAAGATAGAACGCAACATACATTTTCTTTTATTTGATATTTGCGCGAGGGGAATGAAATATTTTTTGAAGCGAATGTAGAAAAAGAAGAACTCCATCATGCGTATGTCATGTGCAGCGTACAATTTCAGTTTTTTTTTAATTTGTACAAATGATAGATTTTTCGATGTTCACGAAACAAGGAGTCCACAGAAAACACGTAACATTTATTTAAACAAATATTTCCAAAAATCTAGTAGAAAATTAAATTTAATATTGCCTTGCTTGTCGCCACGTTCTAAGAGATACGTATATTTTGACTTTCAGATATTTTAATAATATTATTTTCTCTTAAATACGGAAGAAAAGCACAGTACAGTCAAGAGTGCATATTTACGAACTACACACGATTTGTAATTTGATAATACATAATACAATGACAATTCTGATGAATGGATTTGAGATAACGCACGAAACATATCAACAGTCTTTATATATGAAAGCACATTTTATCGCAACACATTTTCCAAAACCTCAGATGACATTTTTCCGCTGAAAATAATGAATTAGTTTTTAACTTTTTTGTTTCAGTATACCACAGAAATATACATAAAAGAGAAATAAACCAGAAACAACCAAATGGAAACCACTGGGATTCAAATTAGAACTCGTAGTGTAGGAAAATCCATTTGAAATGCATTTACACAAAGAAACATGTGCAATGTGGTACGATGAAATGGAAGATCTTACTCAGAATCAGCTTGATAATGCATTTGCATGAACAATCTGCATGTGCGAATGCTATAGTCATGATATTTTTGAGAAGGAGAAGTATTATGTTTGTAAGATATCTTCAATTTCTGTATATGATCTCTGGATACACGGGTTTTTATCACCTCTCCGATAAACAATTAAGAAATAAAAGTAACCGTACTAGATATTTTGGTTGAGAAATTAGTTTTCTGATCTGGAATCCCTGTTTTCGAATAAATCTGTAAAGGGAGCATAGTTTTCCCGATAGGGCTCCATTATGTTTGCGTAATTTTATAATTTCCTTGTCGGGATGTCCAAACAACAAATCCCATTCGAACTGTCTTTCCAGTCCTCTCGACGAAAATGACTCGAGTTGAAATAGTAGTAAAAAAGTATCATATATACATCAAGACTTGAAACTAATCTAATAAAAATTGGTATTAAAATTAAGAGAGAAGAGGACTTTGTTCTCGATCAGTAATGAGGAATTATAGTTCCTTTCACGAATGTTTAATTATTTACTCCAATACCAGAGAAATGTGACGTACTTATTACAAATGCAAAAGGATGCATTTGAAGAATTGCTATATAAGCATCTCATTTATTGTTCTTCAGTTAGTACTCGTCTGGCTAGACAAACATTTTAGCATCTCTAGTTTGTAGGTAGTGTTTCGAACTTTGATGAATACTTTTACCTTTGCAATTGAATCGTTTATTTTAGACCGAGCACTAGCCTCATTTTTTAATTTAATGATTTGTTACAAATATACGCTACTGCAGTATTTGTATTAAGACTAGAAAGGCATATTTGTGAACCTGAATCTTTTTATTGCTACAAACATGGATGTTAGTAGAGGTATAATGTAATGCGTAGCCCTTTCGAGAATAAAGGAAGATTTGACCACAAAAAGATTAAAGAAAAATATATAAGAAACATCAAGAATTATCTCAAATTGGCAAAAGAAGGCGAAAAGTTTTAACTTAAAAAAATTATGAATTGACCAACTACCACACCAAATATGTAGAGAATAATGTCATTTTAAACGTGCAAATAGGTGCTATAATTCCAAGTATATCACTACTTTGTACGTGTGACCATTAATACATTGATTCGTTAAATATTTACCGTCTGAGCTCACATTGTTTCTGTATTGTGGTGATCCCAGTGGAGTTGGTATCCACCCCCGGGCGGACGATGAAATTTTGAAGGAGATAAATGATCAAGGGTTCGATTGGGAGTCTACAACCAAATATGAACCGGCAAATCATAGGTATAACGAAGATCCCAATAATTACAAAATATTGAAGAACTTAATAATACTTTTGTGATATAAAATGACATAGCCTAATTACAACCTCGCTTCTCTTCAGTTGCATACTTCGTTCATTGTAGGGATCATGAGGGTAACTAGGCTGGTGCAATAAATCCCCCGCACCGTATCCCTGAAGTTAAGAGGGATAAGGATACTGTATCGCTGAAGCAAATACTCCCTGCAACACGCACAGGAGAAATTTCATTTTTTCTCTTATTTACTCAGATGGTTATTACATAGTTTATTTTAATTTAACTTTTCGCAAGTTTGGGGGCTTAACAGAAAATTTAAATTAAAACTTTGATCTATTACAGTGGCTACCTATTGGGCTCCTCTAGTCGGGAATTAGTTCGGAGAATTCCTTAACGAAAATGTGAAAGGGAAGTTTTAATTTATATTATAACTATATAATTTATAAAGTTGGTGTATAAGTTTAGGGATCAAGTAATGGTTATTTTTTTAATTTTCTTCTTGTTTTTTATAATATTATTTTTGTATTATTACATTAGACTAACATTAAGATCCTTTATGTAATTTAGGGACATTAATTTATTTATGTTTACTTCTAAGACGTTTCATGTGAAACTCCGTGAATACGAGCTTCACTCTTTCAAGGGTGTGTTCTTGTTATGAAACTAATATGCAATGTTCATTGATAGCAATAAATACATTATTATTATTATTATTATTATTATTATTATTATTAATAATAATAATAATAATAATAATAATAATAATAATAATAATAATATATTCTGGTTGTATATGATGGATTTTACCGAGTCTGTGTACGGATAGTGAAAGGATTTGATATTTATTTGGGAAGTTCTTAGCTAGATAGATGATGTGATGGTCCATAGTCTCTAGGTTAATTTCTTTGCATAATTGTTCATTGGTGATATAATAGGATGCACTATAAATTATTCTGAAAAATTGGCATTATGCTATTTGCAATTTTCTTTTGCGGAAATTCTTTGTTTTTTACTATACTGAGAGGTATATAATAGCTAAGTGTTATAACTTTGTATATTTTAATGCAGACTTGTGCGGTAAAGGGCAGCGTCTATATATTAATGAATTTAGTTGTTTGGACAAATGTGACTGCCAGTTGAATAAAACGCTCAATATTTTGTAAGCATTGTTCAATAGAAAAGACTCAGTGACTCAGAAGCGGAAGTGTCTTCGACTGATAAAAATATACGAGATGCCTAGATATTTCACAAAATAATGATATACGAAACTGATATCATGAAGTCATTAATATGCAATTTTCAGTATTATATTTGTGAAAACTGCATATTATAGCAAAGAAGCGTAAACGGGTCGATGGAGCAAACAATTCTCTTCAATGAGGTCGATGAAAGAGAAAGGTTGGGAATCGCTGCTGTATATGGTTCAGAAAGGACACATGTTGAACAAACAACTAGTGGTGCACGTACGTTCTATTATTTTCTATTTTCACGCAAAAGTTTGCAAAAAGTACTCAAATTTTCGAAAATTGTATATATTAATGTTTAAACTATTAATGTTTTGATAGATGTAATTATTTTCAACAGGTCTACAGAAGTCTACAGCACATTACGCAAAAGCCTATCATCAAAATTAATGACGTAAGACAAGCTTTTCATCAGATTGCATAATATTATACAAAACTTGCTCTATTCAGCAAACATTGAAAGAAAATATCGCAACTGCTTTTGAGAAACTATTGTTTCAATATACAGTCAGGCAGGCGGATAGAAGTGTTGAGAAACACGCTTTTTCGTTATTTGTGACCCACGAACCGTGGTTTTGAGACAAAATACTTGGATTTTTTCCTGAAGAACTACAACACTTTCTCTATATGAAATATGTATTTGAGAAAGAAAAAATCAAAACCGTGTATTAAGAGCATTTAGTATCCTTCCCCAGTTGCAATACAAAGAATGGCAAAACTACATTATTCCTTAACTTATATAGTTAATGTGTCTCGTAGCAAATTGGGGAAATGTGATTTATGGCTTTTCTGAAGTACCGATTCAATACTTGAATCTTCTCTCCAATACTCTTGCTGATGTTCCATCCCGTGGGACGTCAGCTGGCAGTTTATAACAAGCTGTCAAATGTCGCTAGCTGCCAGCTTTGGTGCCACCGATCTTACCTGTAAAGAAAAAGAAGACGTTACTTTTCATTCGCAAATACCTATTCACCTTCTTTGGGCGGGGTAAATGGTACCATGGTGTGCTGTGCACTCCCTTTAAAACAGATATTTATAGTATTTATTAAAGCAGAATTACATACATTTTCTTTCGACACTTTGTCTTTAATATAGTGATTAGTTTGTAACAACGTTCTTCGGCTTCGTTCCAGTAACTTAATAGCAATACCCACTACTCGAAGATGTGGCACAGCATTTTCAGTGTAGTCTCTTTTATTAACATCGCAACCTTCCATGGCTTCTCACGTCTGTGATGCTCTGCGAGCGCTAGTCCTTTCAACCAGGCCAAACGCACGCACAGTATTCCAAACGAACTTGCCGTCCAACCCAACAATACAAAATCAACAACCAAAAATTTTGGGGATATATGTTTTAAGTATTTTTTGATATACTAATTTTTTAATATGTTATTTTCTCTCAATTGTCAGACAGTACAAAATCAACCACCAAAATTTTTTGGAATATATGTTTATGTATTTTTGATCTACTAATTTTTGAATATATTATTTTCTATCAATTGTCAGATATTTGCGAACTACAACATCTCACGCCACACTTCTCTAAGAAAAGAAACTGGAGGAAATTAGAAACATAACAGTGATGTAACATATATTTTAAATTGATTTCAGGCAACACGCAGTAGTGTAGGATGCCACAAGAATTATTTAGAACAGGCATGTCATTGTCGCAGACAAGGAAACGCTCTTATTAGAGTTCGCGGGTACTGGGTTCATAGCAACCGCCGCAAGATTTTAAATAAAGGTTTGCGTGATCTGGGCTGTCCGGGTGACGCCGCGTCGAAGGCTGTGTTGCCAACGTTTCGACCATCTTGTCGTGGTCTTCCTTAGAGCTGGTATGCATACCAAGCAACACAGCCTTCGACGCAGCGTCACCTGGTCAGCCCAGATCTTGCACATGATGGCGATAGGTCACTGGATACCCAATCCATGTCTTTTGGATAAATCAGTTGACAGAGCCTCAAATGAAGGGATGCCCAGGTAAAGCAAGAGGCGGGTAGACGTATATTAAAGGAGGTTCCTTATTTCAAAGAAAAGTTTTGCTCCCCTCAATATTGTATTTAATCAATTATCAGGAATCGTTAATTTGCATAATGCAGGGTTATTTTCAATTAGATCAATACGTATATTATTATTATCATCATCATTATTATTATTATTATTATTATTATTATTATTATTATTATTATTATTATTATTATTATAATTATTATTAAACCTATTACATCCCTATCCAGGGCAAAAGCCTCCAAGTCTGGCGGTGTAGTTCACATACAAAACTGACCAAGTGAAGAAGTATATTAGTTATATTTAAATCTACAATTAAAAATTTATTGCATTTCAAGACCTTTTTTTACTAAAAATTACTCCATTTGATGCCGCCAGCATCGCTTCCTCCTAGGGATCGTCATACCATTACTGCCCCTTCCCCTTTTTTTGTGTTTGCCGAAGGGCAGTCCCTAATCGCTTTTGAGACAGTCAAATTCCGCGTAGTTCGTACGGGTAGTTTCCTCAGGGCGGATTTCCTGTATATTACTTACAGAACGTGCATCGTCCCAATTCCATACTACGTTAGTCAGGGATCGTTACAAGTTTTTAGTGGCATGGCTTCGGACCAACCAGTTTTGAAACTATCACAGTCTGCTTCAGCGGCAATGTCCTATAACGTCACTCTTTGCAATTCGTGGCAAAGCGACCCTGGAATGGTCGGTGGTACCTAGCGAAATGTATTCTGTTGTTGCGTCTCAATGGATGCGGAATGCATCTTGCGTGAGTGTCTCCCGTGGCGTTAGATTGTAAGAACTGTTTGCTTTAAACTCGTGCTACTGAATTTTCCTTTCTAAGCTTTGTGCGTGTAAGGACTGATTCTGCAACGGAATCTGGTGTGTGTAATTGACGGAGATTGTATTGTGCAAACTTGTTTCATTGTGTTTGTGCCTAAAAATTTATATAATTTGTTATAATGATGGAAGGAAGAAATATAGATATCTAAAATTAATTACACGTTTTGCATACAAATCTACATTATATAATAGTATAGTAGTCGTTTTTACGTCGTAAGTTCAGAGTGTGTCCTGTCCTTAAAGATGTTTGGCTGAATCTTATGTACGTAGAAATACTAGAAAAACAACTTCGACTTATGAAAATAAGATACATGTATACATACAATTATATTGATTAAAATATGTGTTGAAGTATTATGTTAATAATTTCAATTCATGTAGAACTTTTTAATGTACATAAACTATATATTTGACACATACTTCTAACAGTACTTGTTTTTCCTGTGAGTCAATATTTTATTTTCTAAGTTTTTTTCTTTCTTTTGCTTCTAGTGAAGAATGGCACAAAAAGAACGCATGGATTTCCAACTAATATAATTGGTTTTATTTTGATAACATTCAAAAGATATTCACATCATTAGAATTGGTAATGTACCCAATTAATTAAATGTCATGTTTTTCACGTTTTAAAGATAACCTCAGACAGATGGTGGCCTTCTTCGTGAATACACATTAAAAGTATTCCATAGAAGCTCGTAATCACTTTCATCAACGTGGCAAGCGAAACAGCAGCAATTTCTTACGTATTGCAACTTCCAGATCATTGGGTGGACGATATTTCTTGCAGTACAATTTACTTTTTAAATAACCCCATAAGAAGTCGGAAACCGACATATCTGGCTATCGTGCAGGCCAGTGGACAGCGTGCAGGTCAGTAGAAACATGAGATCACGTGTCGGAAAAACATTTCTCGGGCATGAAAATTTTAGAAATTGCTTCTAATTTGTGAGTCAGTAGTGCGTTGACGATCTCGGAAGGTTCGTGGGTACTAGCCCCACCTGGGGCATGGGTTTGTTTGTGTATGTTTATGTCATTCATTCATCCTTCATTATCATCATCATTCTATATTCCATCCCCCTAAGACTAGCAACCCTGGGGACAAAAGTTGGATTCAGCATAAGAAGGCTAATACCCCCAAAAGAAGTCACGTACACTCGTCACAGGAAAAAATGTAACTGAACCTCGGTAAGTGCAGGTGTATGTCCGCGTGGTCACAAGTGGCCAGTTCTAGAAGAAAAAAAAGTACTGTAAATGAGAGTGTGCTCGGTGGCAGTCAACCAAAACACAGAATAATTTAGTAAAACAACATAAAATCAAAAGAAGGGAACAATTCGCCATTCAAACATGGTATTGCCGTTTGGCAAAAAAATATTAATAATGTTAACACTTGGCAAAATTTAAAACAAAAATATACTTGCAATAAGTATTAAAGAATGTGAACGTAATAAAAATGTCGGTTATTTGATGACACAACTATGGCAAACAAATTTTCGTATGAAATGGAGGAATTTCTTGCGACTGTTCATCGCTTTCTGGAGGTGGAGGGAAAACGATAGAGGAACCAGGCGAAGTTGCCCATGATCGTAAAAGCGCCGGGCTTTCCAGGTAGCTCCGGTGGGCACGGTTTGACAGGCTTCATTTACAATATGATACCCAAGATCACAGATCATAACTATTGATCAATAATTATGTATCTTGAAATAGAAGTGCACGCGACACTCCAGCATGGCTTCTCAACTGATAAGGTGATTGGAATTGGGGCGCAAGAAGTAATTAAGTCAACAAAATTCTTCCAGGAATCTTGCTTGAGGCAACTTATATTCTTAGTGAAGTCGTAGGCTTCCGCGACCAGAGGCATGCGGGTGATCTGGGCTGTCCGGGTGACGCCGCGTCGAAGGCTGAGTTGCCGACGTTTCGACGCATCCTGTCGTGGTCTTCCTCAGGGCTGGTATGTCATATCACAGGCCCGCATATCAGCCCTGAGGAGACCACGACAGGATGGTCGAAAACGTCGGCAACTCAGCCTTGCGACGCGCGTCACACGGACAGCCCAGATCACCCTTCAATTCTTAGTGTCTCGCTTGCAAGGAACTCATGTCTGCGTCTAGAATTCAAAGGATATGCGCATCGCCCGGCAACCGCTAAAGAGCACGAGTGCCTAGGGCCCAAGACGCTGTTATGTGTGAGTGAGGGGCGGGGAGGGGGGCGAAGAAGCGGGAGACGAGGCGGGCGAAGGGCGGAGTCACGGTTGATAGCGAGGGAGACGGCAGGATTTTGGGAGCGCGCAGAGGTAGGGACAGAGAGGCTCCGTAGAAACGCTGCTTGGGTTAGGGAGAGGCGGGGGGCGTGGCGTGGCGGGGAAGGCGGGCGGGGGAAGACGAAGAGACGAGTGGGGGCTTGTGATGCCTACACCAGGGGCGCGAGAGCGAATGCGTCAACTCTGAAGAATTGAAAGCAAACATCTTTGAGCGGCTAACTTAACGCTCTCACAAAGCAGAGGGCAGAGCAAGGGGCTGGGACGGGCGAAGCGAGTTCGGGAGCGGTTGGAACGGTGCGTGGCGGGGGGCAGGCGTGGCGAGCGCGTGGCCGGAATAAGCCTGGCGCGCACGACAGGAGGGGCAGTGGGAGATTGAGCGCTCGGTGGGTGGGGCGGGGGACGAGGTTCCGTGTTAGTGGCGAGGAAAGGGAGAGAGAGCGTTGAAGAATATGGCGTTCTCCAACTCCAGGGAACCCCATCATTCCATTTTCACTTCCAGTGGAGCAACACAGGATTTGTCACTGACACAAATCTGAAAAGCTAAATTCCTCAGAAAATACAGCAGTGTTTTTCTATATTCTGTAGATTGAAAACTTATGATATACGTATTTTTAATGATCAGCACCGGTCAATTGCCTTAATGTAAATAATGTTGATAACTTGATTTAAAAAAAAAAAAACAAGTCATCGTAGAAAGTCGCCGAGAAAATGAATTTGTGCGTTTCTTAAACGTAAATGAGTACTGCATTGTTCATTTGAGTGTCATTACCACTATCTGGGAACAAAGTTTCATCAAAAAATTTACAACAGTATTGAGAAAATTTTGAAAATATTAAGGCTTGTGTAAAGTGCTCAAAATATATGTCCCAAACTTTCAAAGCCTAGAGTTCGATGGATCAAGAAATATTAATTTTGGAGA